TAGTTGGACAATAGATCATTTTTAATACAAAAATAATGAGTACATCAGTAACAAAGAGATCACTTTCTAAAACATCAGAGATGCCTAAAGATCTATCAAGAGTTAGTATTACTACTTCCTTCCTTTTACTTAATTTTAATACTAAAATGTTTTATGTCTAAAGTCATTCATACAAAAAACATTTTCATTTAATAAACACTTGATAATAATTTATTATATGTATTTAGCATGTAAGTTTAATGAAGAGCCGTATGGATCTAGGAGGTGGTGATATGGATTGGTTACGAGGAAGAGCTCATCTAAAGCCAGAAGATCAGTTACAGCTAACAGAGGCTGTATGTTTATTTTCTTATTACCAAAATATCATGCATTTTAACTACATATTCTCAAGAAGGCTTCTAATTGACTTTAAACAAAAAATTGTAGGAATTACAAGAAGAGTTTGCAAGAGTCCTAACTATACATAACACAAGGGTTCCAGATTCTTTAGTTGAATGGTCATGGAAATTGAAAGAATTCATAATCTTACCACCTCCACCACATTTAATAACCCTTTTAAGTGTACCTGGATTACTATTGCACAAAGATTCTGAAGAAGCAAAAATACAATTAGCAGGAGGTCTTATTGGTAAGATTCCATAAAATTCCCAATTAATTTAGTACTCTATTAAATAATATGTGAATATTTCATTGTAGTGGAAGGTCACCTTGAAGAACCCATTGAAGGAGATGAAGAAGAAGAAGAAGAAGAAGAAGGGGAAGAGGAAGAAGAAGAAGAAGAAGCAGAAGATGAAGAAAAACTAGAAGGTAAAATGAGAATAATGGAAGAAATTGGAAAATACATATTTAGTCATATTTAATTTTATAAAAACCAAAATAAATTCGAAATTTTTTAAACAAACTTCATATAAACTGAAGAACCCACAAAGGCTAAACCTGAACCTGAACGTGAACATGAACATGAAGCTGAACCAGATGAAGAAGAAGAAAGAGTAAAACCTAAAAAAATACCAAATCAATTTAACTTCTGTGAAAGAGCTGCTTTAACTTATACTAATCCTATGAGGGTAAATATACAATGATGTAAATTTCATAAAATACAATTTATTTAATTGTGCTTATATTAATTTATAGGAAATGAGTACACAAACAGTTCCACCACCAACAGCAACATTTAATACCCATGTTTTCCAATGGACAATCTTTGATGAGTATCAGGCATGTATCTTTACATTAAACAAAATTATTTAAGATTGCATAAATTAAGGGAATGTGTAAATGTATATCTTAGGAAGACTATGCTCAACAACAACGTGAAAGAGAAAAAGAGAGGAGACTTCCATTTTTACAACCAAAAAGGGAAGAGTTGAAAAAAAAATCTCAAACAGAAACTATGGCAGTAACATGTAGAATGTTGCTAGCTGCAAAAGCATTAGAACGAATGGTGAATCAAAATATTTTTGATGAAATAGCACAAGGTTGATGTGTTTCTTTGATCATTCTTACAAAATTATATTTTATTTAGAAAAGTATTTATATAAATATCTTTAGATTACAGATATTGGGATGATCCAAGTGATGAATTCAAGGATGGAGAAGGTTCACTGTTACCCTTGTGGAAATTTAGTTATGAAAAAACCAAAAAGCATGATGTTACAGATTTATGCTTTAATAGCAGATATTATGACTTATTTGCAGTAGCATATGGAACAAGTTAGTAAAACGTATAAAATTCGATTATATACAAATACTTATATATGTAATATTTTAGTGTCATTTAGCAGTTTAATAACTACTGGAACAGTATGTTTATTCAGCTTAAAAAATCCATCATATCCAGAATGGATCTGTCCAACAGAATCTCCAGTAATGTGTCTGGATTTTAGTGAACAACATCCACATCTTTTAGTTATTGGTAACATGAGCAAATATAATAAATTTCTATTACAATACTATTAATTCTTTTTCTCATGGTGAAGGTACTATGGATGGTGTTGTAGCTGTTTATAATGTCATGTTACCACCAACAACTCCACAATATAAAAGTAATGATATTGTTCAAAAACATGGAGGTATTGTATGGGAGGTTTGTTCAGTGCAAATACATACATATATATGTATTATATATATAAAACATATAAAATTACAATTTTGTGTTATAGCTATTACAAAATATACTATATTCTTAATATAATATTTATTACACATAATATTCAAGGTATGTTGGGCACCAGATACAGAGGAAGGGAATTTGGCATTTTATAGTGTCAGTATTGATGGAAAAATTAACCATTGGGTATTAAATCAAAATGATCTTGGTTTGACAACTGTAATGACTCTTTTTTTGGACAGACCACCAATACCTGGACCAGATGGGACTATGATATATGTTTTATATATATAAAACATATAAAATTACAATTTTGTGTTATAGCTATTACAAAATATACTATATTCTTAATATAATATTTATTACACATAATATTCAAGGTATGTTGGGCACCAGATACAGAGGAAGGGAATTTGGCATTTTATAGTGTCAGTATTGATGGAAAAATTAACCATTGGGTATTAAATCAAAATGATCTTGGTTTGACAACTGTAATGACTCTTTTTTTGGACAGACCACCAATACCTGGACCAGATGGGACTATGATTACACTTAAGGGTAAGAACATTTTATATCATTGCTATTTTTATTAATAATCTTAATTATGCTGTACTAGGTTGTGGAACATGCTTCGCGTTTCATCCTTCAGATGAAAATGTATTTCTGGTTGGTACAGAGGAAGGAACAATTTATAAGTGCAATACAGCATATAGTAGTGTTTATATGAGAACTTATAATGAAGCTCATAATATGCCAGTATACAGAATAGTATTTAACAAATTCAATTCTAATATATTTGCAAGTTGTTCTGGGGATTGGAGAATAAAAATATGGGAAGATAATAGAATGTTGGTCTTCATTATACTAATGAGTTTGGAGGTCGTATTTTCAACTTTTTCTGATCAATTCCTTAATTATATAACTGTTTCATAGGGAACCTTTGTTTATGTTTGATCTTGGTGTTCCGATCGGAGATGTTCAATGGGCACCGTATAGTTCAACAGTATTAGCTTGTGTTTCAAATGATGGGAAAGTTACAGTATTTGATCTAAATATAAATAAATACAGACCAATATGCAGCCAGCAAGTTGTTAGTAAAAAGAAAAATAAACTAACTAGACTTGCATTTAACAATAAATTACCATTTATTATAGTTGGTGATGATAAGTAAGTATTTACTTTATAATTTTATTTAGCAAATTTTATTGTTATATTTTTTAAATGCAATGAAGTATCAACTACTAACTTAATATGTTTAAATTCCTTTACTTATTGCATAACACAAATCTTAATTCATTATTATATTTTTATTTTCATCTTTCATGCTAACAGAGGCACAATAAATACATTGAAATTATCACCAAACCTCAGAATAAAAGTAAAACCAACTAAGAAACAAATTCACTTGACACATAATGAATTAGAAACTATGAAATTAGAAAGATTATTAAGCTTTGTACGTGAGCCATGTGTACTACCACCACCAAAAGATACAAGAGCAGTAACATAATTGAATCACATTTTGAACCATATAAAAGTATTTTACATATATATGTATATTCTTTTTAAGAATAAAATTTATTTAAATGTAAAAAAATTTATACTTTAGGTGATCTACATTATTATATCATTTTATAACAAAATTATAATATTCTTTCAATTTTTGTAAAAATAAA